GTGGGACACCTGAGCAGATGGGAAAACCTTCTTAACTCCGGAGAAAGACAAGTCAAAGAGAAGGAAAGTACTGACTAATCTCATAAATGCTTTGAGAAGTCCAACTCAACATTTTCTCGGTTGCTTTTCCAAAAAATCATGGGAAATAAGAACTGCTCGTGCATTACCTTTAGGTGAATCACTTTACCAATGGAACTGGGGCTTACAGGGGACAACAAATTACCAAAAGAGGGGATATATAGATTTTTTGGGGAAAAAATAACAGGTCCCCTCCCTGGTTCTTTGCTTCCTCCTATCTTTACTGGTTTTATTCTTATTTTTAAAATAATTTAACTTTTTCTTTGTACTACAAAACACTCTATGCTAGGAATATTAATGGGTGGGGAAAAAAATATGCAAAAATTATCTCCCTCCTTTTTTTTTTTTTGGTTCATTGCTAGTGTATTGCAATTTTATATGTTCCTCAAGTCCATAATTTTCCCTGCTCACTGTATGAAAAATTATCAAAGGCAATAAAAATAAAAGGAAACAGCACTTTTTGATTTTCATAAAAATATCTCAATAAATAAAAAAGTGGAACAAATTCTTAAAATATCTGGCCAGCCAGACTCTTTTGCATTTTTTCCCACCAGCACCAGCTGTTTTTTGCATACCAGCAGAAGGGACATATTTGCAGATTCAGTTTATGGGAGCTTTGTTTATGCACTGGGTGAGGATTAACCACTAATTTTAATTAATGGGGCAAAACCAAGTTCAAAGAAGACAGAAAGTTTGTAAATCTTGTAAGAGCACTAAGTCTGGCTGTGCTTTTAGATGCAGAAAATGTGCTGCACGGAATTGGCCATATTAACATTTTTCCTGAGGTTTACACACTGATCCTTTCTCCATCACTGTTTCACATGGAATCTCTGGATTTAGTGGATCTTTAACTACACCCTTGTGCCTCCCAATCTTTAGTGTGTCCTCACAATATTTCTGTAAAATGAATATCACTGTTGCCATTTCAGGTGTTCATTGAGCAGGAAACCTGTGAAACAGCAGGCACTTAAACAAAGGGCTTTTTGGAGGTAAATTCTACCCCTGCAAAGTCAACAGTGTCAATACAAAAAGAAGGAAATACACATTTTGATGGAAAAAAATGAGATTTTGCAAGAATAAATCATGTCAAACCAATCTAACTTTCCCCTATGGTGGAATAACAAGCCTTGTAGAGACACAAAGCAAGAAATGTTACAAATCTTGACTTCAGCAAGGCTTTTGTAGACACAGTGATAGACACTGTGATAGACACAGTGTTCTTGTGGTGAAATCGAGGAGACAAAGCTCAGCACTGGCTGAGGAGCTTCTCACAAAACTGGTATCACAGTTTTGCAACAAAATGAAAGGACCTGCGGGCTTTTCCTGTGGTCAGTCCTGAGTCTGAAGTTTAATAAATCTCTTCTGAGGGTTTGTCAAAGATTCAGGATGAATGACAGCAGAATTCCCCAAAGGGAGGATGGTCGAGCACCAGATTAACTTCAGGCTTTTCTACATTGGATTCTCCACACATTTTCCCAAGTGCAAGTTCGACACTTTGGGGACAAGGGGACAGATTCAGTTCAGGTCCCTTTGTGGCTGACGCTGTGTAGCTACAAGATTTAATGCCCTGGAGCAGTTTAATAGGCAAATTACTCATTAGAGATCCAGAATTCAAAATACAAAATTGCAGGTGGAACATTATTAGACTCCTTTCCACCCTGTTTTCACCCCTTCTTGAAAGGTCACTGGCTCTGTCAGGTCACTCCCAGGGCTGGTTTAGAGCTACATCCTTTAAAGCATCACCCAAATAATGGGATCATGAGCTGAGTAACACTGTCCTGAGAAAGGGTTCGGTGAGGTGGGTTGGGTTTGTCTCATGGGCTCCCTGCAGTGTTTTCTAGACTCAGCAGAAAGCCAAGAAATGGAAATAGCAGCCAGTGCTCTAAACTGTGTGACCAAAGCTGTTCAGGCTCATGGCCCAAGGGTCACACACCAGCTTCCAATCCACCTCTGGGAATTCTGGGGAATCCTTACAGAGACTTCTCTTACCTGCATGATCTGTTAAAAGTCCGAAACTCTATGAACTGTTGGAAAAGGGAAAGGTGGATGGAGGGCTGAAAAGAATTGTGTGATTTTACAGTCGGGTTCCTGACTGTGGAATACAAATTAGAGCTTCTGCCCTTCTCCCTGCCCCTGTTCCAGCAGGGAATACCCACACCCAGCGCTCGGGGAGCCACGCACGCAGCTCAGACACGCAGAGACAGGAACCCAGACCCAGCTAAGTAACCAAGAGTAAGCTGAGCTAATGAGTTTAATGAGCTCATACAAAGCAGCTCCATCAGAGAGTCTGGCTTTGATGCCAATTCCCCCGTGGAAGGACTCCTTTCATGTCCCGGGCTACTGTTTAAACCACTGCACCAATTTGCCAGCCCCTGTTAATTTACATCTGTTATTAATGAAGGAGGCAGCATGTGGAGCTGGTGGCAATAAGAAGAATATTTGGTTTATTTCATCCTGCCATAGTTTTTTCCTCAAGGTTTGTCTCATTGAGAGGTGACACCAGGGAGGGAAATAAATAACACGAAGTTCTTTCTGGAGCTGGGCACTCCTCTGCTGCAAACAGCAGCAGCTTTTTTAACCTGTACGTTGAGTTTACTCTTCTGTATTGTAAAGTACCTTATAGTGATCTATAACTCTTTTTTGTGGCACCAATCTGCATGCTGGTTTCTTTGACAACTTAAATACACAGCTCGTGTCTCCTTTATGAATGTTTCTATGAGTGTTTTGATAAAAAACAATAGAAAAAGCACCCGTGAGACCACTGTTAATCAAATTAGAGCCCTTGAAATATTACTTTCTAACAATCAACATTTTAAAGGAGTTTAACAAGCTGTATTTTATCAAACCCCACTGTATCTTTTTCAATAGATTTTAGAGAGACTGTCTCACCTGTTTTGTTTCCCAAGCCCCAGAATGGGAGTGAGAAGAAAACACACCAAATTTCTCAGGAATCATCCCACAGCTGATTCCAAAGTGGTGGTCTAGAGGTTTTATGGTTGCTCTGTGTAATTTTTACAGGCAGAGTGTTGATGGCACACAGAGGAAGGGGATATATCTAGGAAATGAAGCAACACAATAGAAGATTTAGGGTTTAAGTACCTGGACTATCCCTAAGATCCTATTACTAAATTCAGGTATTTCCTACTGTGTCTAATCCAACCCAGCTGGGGGATGCCACCCACTAGTTCAGAAGTCAGTGTTAAAATTGTTAAACAATGTAAATAACTTGCTGTAATTTTAAAATAAACATAGGCACTGAGCTGTTTTCTCCTCCCTGCCCACAAAGAACCGGCAGCAATTCTTTTATTTCAGTTCTGCAGAAATATTTACCGAGGGTTCTGATTAAAGCATTGCACAGTATTAAACTGCCTGTTTAATATTTTAACATTGTGACTTGCAGAGGATACTATCTGGAATAGGGGCATAGGGGTATCTAGAGGCTTTATAATTAACACAATGAGGTCTCAAATCTGAATGAGACTTCTCAGTGCTCCTAAAGCCAAGGCAATAAATGGTGATTTTACATGATTTCTACCACACAATCCGTCAGGAGGGTGAGCAGTGTTGGCCTTCCCGCTCACTTCTGAGCCAATAAATGATGATTTTACATGATTTCTATCGCACAGTCCAACGGGATGGGTGAGCAGTGTCGGCCTTCACACTCATTTGTTGATGAGGTTACCTTTTGGAAAGGAAACAGAGCCCCAAGGAGGGCTGGCACTGATGCACCTGGTTGTCCTGGACCCCCATAAGGACACGGTGAGTGTGTGTGGTTTGTCTTGTGTTCATGCCATCACCAGCTCCAACCACGGCACTGAGGATGTGTCCTTGCCTTGTGCTGCCCCCCTGGACAGACCGGCATTTCCTCCCTTCCCAGACCAAACATATCCACCTCGAGCAATAAAAAATTTATTTCTTAAGTGCTGTAACGTTCACGCAACTGAAACCTTGGTCCTTCCAGGAGTTTTTTGGGTATCCCCAGGCACACCTCCTGGTGTGCCCAGGCTGCACAGCCCCGTGCAGTCACACAGCCAGCCATTCACTGAGTCCCGGGATGGCTGAGGTTGGAGATCACCCAGTCCAAGCCCCTGCCAAGGCAGGGTCACCTGGAGCAGGTGACACAGAAATGTCTCCAGGTGTGTCTGGGATGTCTCCATAGAGGGAGACTCCACACCTTCCCCGTTCCAGTGTTCTGCCACCGTCATGGGTGTTCTTCCTCATGTTGAGGTGGAACTTGTTGTGTTTTAGTTTATAGCTGCTCTCACCCTGTCACTGGGCACCACTGGCAAGAGCCTGGCACCATCCTCCTGGCACCCCTTGGACACATTTGTATGGATTGCAGTCTCCTTCCCCCCTCCCCGGACACTCGGGGATCACTTCCCTGGCGTGCCCCTCGAGGAGGGATGGCAAGGGGTGTGGATGGGGGGCGTCCCTGTGTGCGCAGTGTGGTCAGCGGGGTGTGGGCAGTGCAGTGAGGCCATGTGGGCAGTGGTCAGTGTGGTGTGGGCAGTGCTGTGGGGTGGTGTGGTCAGTGTGGTGTGGGCAGTGCTGTGGGGTGGTGTGGGCAGTGTGGTCAGTGTGGTGTGGGCAGTGCTGTGGGGTGGTGTGGGCAGTGGTCAGTGTGGTGTGGGCAGTGCTGTGGGGCAGTGTGGGCAGTGGTCAGTGCGGTCAGGCCGGTGCGGGCAGTGCTGTCGGGGCCGGCTCTGAGGGCAGTGGTCTCGGTGCCGGCTGTGTCCCTGCCCCGTCCCCTGTCGGTGCCGGCTGTGTCCCCACTCGGTCCGTGCCGGTGCCGGCCCCGTCCCTGCCCGGTCGCTGTCGGGGCCGCGCTCCGTGCGCGCCCCCCCTGCGGGCGGCGGGGGCGGGCGCGGCCGGGCCGCGCTGATCGCAGCGCGCCATTGGCCGCTGTCTGCGCGCACGTCACGATCATGATGAGAATTAATGATCGGGGCCGCTGATTTCATTGTGTGACGCCGGGACCGACCCAGCCGAGCCCGGCCGAGCCCGGAGCCCCCGCGCCGGCCCCGCGCTGCACGGTAAGCGCGGGGGGCTCCCCGCGGGAGGGGCGCGAGCGGGGCCCCCCCGGCGGGAGGGGCGCAGCGGGCGGGCGGGGAGGAGGAAGGAGATGCTGATGATGGTGGTGATGCTGGTTATGATGATGATGATGATGATGATGATGATGATGCCGATCTCCCCCCCCCCGGGCCCGGCGGTGGGGGGGGGGTAAGGGGGCGGCCGCGCGAGCTCGCGCGCGCGGACCCGCCCGGCGCGCGCAGGCGCGGCTGAGCCTCCCCCACACACACCGCGGGGGGGCCGCGCCGGGCACGCGCCGGGACCCGCCGCCGCCGGGGGACCGCGCGTGCGCGTGCGCCCGCGCGCCCCGGTGGAGCGCCCAGTGCGCCTGCGCCGGCCGAGGCCGCACTGCGCGTGCGCGGCGGGCCGGTCAGCGGCGGCTCAGCCCCCTCCGCGGAGCTGTGGGCTTCGGTCACTGGGCCCTCAGCGTCTTCAGGCGTCCTCAGTCCCCTGTGCCTCGGTCACAGAATCATTTAGGCTGGAAAACATCGCTGAGATCATGGAGTCCACCCTGTGCCCAATCCCCACCTTGTCACCCAGCCCAGAGCACTGAGTGCCACGTCTAGGTGTTCCTTGGGCACTTCCAGGGTGGGCACTCCACCACCTCCCTTCCAATATCTGGCAACTTCTTCACCTCTTCTGTGAAGAAGTTCTTCCTGATGTCCAGCTTGAACCTCCCATGGCACACTTACGACCATGTGCTGTCATCTTGTCACTAGTTGCCTCAGTCCCCGGTGCCTTAGCCCTTCAGCCCTTCATTGTCCCTGGTGCCTCAGTTCCCTGTTGGCCCTTCCCCACACCCTGGGTCCTGCTCACCCCCCCATCACTGCAGGCACCCCCCGAGGCAGGGATGGTTCCCCTGGGTGCCGTGGGGATGGCTGGAGACGGAAGGACAGCCATCACTGTTGACTCATGGTGTGAGGCTGAGGGGCCACAGTGGTGGACAGGCAGGGGGCAGCTGGGTGGCCACCAGACATCCTAGATCTTGTTCCCTCTGAGGCTCTTCTAAATTTCTCCAAGGGGTGCCAAGAGAATGGTGCCAGGCTCTTCTCAGTGGTGCCCAGCAACAGGATAAGGAGCAATGGCAGAAAACTAAAACACAGCAAGTTCCACCTCAACATGAGTAAGAACTTCTTTATGTTGAGGGTGGCAGAGCACTGGAACAGCTGCCCAGAAAGGGTGTGGAGTCTCCCTCTCTGGAGACATTCCAAACCCACCTGGACACAGTCCTGTGCCACCTGTGCCAGGTGACCTGCCTGGGCAGGGGGGTTGACCTGGATGATCTCCAGAGGTCTCTTCCAACTCTAGCTGTTCTGTGATTCCACCTCTCAAATGCATATGTGGATGCTCCATCCCTGGAAGTGTCCAAGGCCAGGTTGGACAGGGCCTGGAGCAACCTGGTCTAGTGGAAGGTGTCCCTGCCCATGGCAGGGGGTGGAAGGAGATGGACTTTAAGGTCCTTTCCAACCCAAACTATTCTGTAATTCCATGATATCGGCCTGTTGTGGTGCCAGGCACAGCCCGTGTGTGGTGTGAACAGGGGGGCCTTGTGCTGCCAGACTTTACTCCTCAGATGTTTGGGGATGAGGGGGAAGAAGTTGGCTGTGCTGTTCTGGAGGGATGGTGGTGCCCTGGAAGTGCTTGTGGAGCACTTTCCTGCCCCAGGCAATCCCCAACCCTGTCTCCTGCCCTCTGTTAACCTGGGGCTTCTGATCCTATAGGTAAGATCTGATACTATGGGTAAGATCACACATAACTAACCAAAGTAGTTTTATGTCCTCCAAACTGGAGTCCTGAAGCAGCTCACACCTTCACAGTAACACAGCATTTTAGTATCCCTTTTTCCTGGCACAGGTCTTACAAACACGTACATGCTTTATTTAAAACATGTGGTTAATCCAGCTGCAGTCAGGAGTCTCATTTGCATCAGTAAAGTGGGATGGGGATGCATAAACCTGTGGAGTTGTGGTCATGGGTTATTATGTTATTAAGTTACTGAGGGCTGTCTAATTTGTCCCTAATAAAGGGCTGCATTTTATAGGTAGGACTGTAATACAATCCTACAAATGCTGTACTTAGTGGAGAGGGAAGCAATTATGCTGCGAGTCACGGATATTTAGAAGTAGTTTTACAAGCTGGGCTGTACATTACACGTACCCAACCATCAGCCTCACCCACTGCACGGGGAGCGTGTAGCTCTGACTGGTTTGGCCTGTGTAGGAAAGAGGCACCAACCTGCCAATTCAGGTTATTAAACATTGTTGCTTGATGTGTATCCAGTAACCCCACACATTACAGGGTTGGTTGGTTGGTTGTTTTCTTTCCACTGGGGATGTACAAGAAATGGTGAGGTTTTGGCAGCTGTGGGAAGTGAATGAGGTTCCTAAAGCTGGAGGGATAGTGTCACTACTGCAGTCTTGTTTAATTTATGTCTGGAGTACATTTCTTATCATAGTTCCAGTTTGGTCTCAGATTTATATTGGCACTGAGACTTGTTGGTTTTTTACCACAAGAGATTGTGGAGGGAACAGAAAAAAAGATAAATAGAGGAGTGTGCTGATTTTCTTGTTATACCTGTTATGGATGGACAGACTAAAACAGAAATAGGCTTTGCAAGATGACTTTTTTATAAATAAATACTTGTTTGGTGCTGAAGGTAAAAAAGAAAACTCTCAGAAACTGCTTGTTCCCTTTTATCACTCTGTGTTAATCCCTGACAGTTTTATTATGTTTTATACCATGAAGATTTTTATACTTAGTTACTTTGTGGTGGCTTGTGCTCTGAGTGAATTATTTATTATTTATCACATCCAAGACTATTTTTTTGTTGCTGTTTAAAATGACTGTAGTTGGAGATTTTATTTCCTATTTTCAAAGTAAATACTATTAATGTAGTGTTCTGTAGAGATTTACTTTGTAAAAGTTTACTTGGTTTAACAGTCTTAATATTTAGATACTTTTGGACACTGAGATTATACTGCTGTACTTGTAGGCAGACTTTTTTTCCTTCTTATGCTACTTCTTTATTTTTGTCCCTTTTTTTGCCCCCAGATTTTTCAAGTCATTCCAGAACAGTTAAGTAACTCCTGAATTATTTGATTACATGATTATTCCCATTTTCTTTCAGTTGTTCTTTCTTTTGTCTTACTCCTTGACATCAAGTTGTTTCCATTAGTTGCTAAAAATGTATGACCTGCCTTCACCAGGTCTCCCTGGAGAGATTCCTAATTTCTGGCTGTTGAATAAAGTAACTGGGGTGGAAGGACTGGGCATTTGCAGCAAACCCTGTGGGACAATACCCTGAGTGCCTGTTCTGTGAAGGAAATGTTCAGGAGCAAACTCTGCTTTAGGTCTCCGTGTTCTCCTCTTTCCACTCCTGCTGGCTCTTCCCAGAGAAGGGAAGGAAGGATGATACTGTGAAAAAGTTGCTTAAACAGCTTAAGAAGCCTGAAAAATTCAGCTGTAAGATCAACCTTAATGTCACCTGACAAGGAGCCGCTGTGACAGTCACAGGGTGTCTGTGGAATTGTCCTTGGGACAAACTGAAGGGCAGGGAGTTCCCATCTTTGACCTTGTCACTGATCACTCTGGGATCTCCCACATGTCACAGTCCCTGCTTAACACTGGGGCTACATTTACATCTCCTAAATCACCACACGTATCAGAGGATCTTACCATGCTAAGTTTTTTAATTAGTATTCAGTTTAGAAAGGGAATGAAGAACATCTTCATTCTGTCGGGTTCACTGTAGGTTGAGGATTGGGAGACCCCCAAAGTGAAGAGTTATGTGATGTTAGTTGGCCTAGGACACATCCCAGGGGTGGAGGTGCTTTTTCATTTGTCACAGGTTATTCTCTGCGCTGTCAAGACTGCAAAACACTTGGCCAAGGCTGCTTTATTTTGCTAGAACAGGTAGATGTTGAATCCTTAAGTACTGCTTTGCCACCTTGTCTTTTATTGAAGTGAAAATGCAGCTTACAGTCATGGAATTTGTTTGCATAATGCTTTGCCTGATTTTTATTAAATTTCACGGAGTTCTTTTCTGTAACAAACTCTCTTTTCAGTGCCAATGTGTTGCCAACCAGCTGGACACCCGGCTTCCCAAAAGCTCACATGCATGTTTGCTAAGCTTGGCAAGTCAAGATCAAAATGAAATTATGATAAAAATCCATGTGGATTTCTAACTTGGAGTCTGAGGTTCAAGACAAAGGTGAGAAATCCTGAGGCTGGAGTGCTCTGTAGGTGCACAAACTGGGAAAAGGAGTTTGTTTCCTTAGAAGTTACTGAGGTTGTTTTAAATAATGTCTGTGATGAAGGAGTGTGACCTGCTGATTCCCTTGGTACTGATGTGACTGCTTCATGTTCAGTAATTTTAGCACTTTTTAAGTGATTTTCCGTGTTGGAGAAAATGTAAGACTTAATGTCTTGTTCTAACTGCAAAATCTGATGCTAAATAGGTAATACTTCCAAAGAAAATAACCAGTGTAATCCTTTGATGAATATACCCTGTGTTAATTTGTCTCAGAGACAGTAACATTATGTTCTCACAGATGTTTGAGTGCTCAATGTGGGTCAGTTCCCAGGTGTGGGCAGAACTTGTTGCCTGTGAAGATGGGACATGCAGAGGCAGCTCTTCATTGATTAACTCTGGACTTCATGGTGTTCTAATGGAGCTTCCAAACCTCCAGGAACTGGTTTATTCAATGCAGGGTACTGTTTTAGATATTCAAAATAAGGACTGAAGAATTGCTGATAGCAAACTGATTTCCTGCTGGACTTTAAAGGTGATGTAATATCAGTGAACTTTGCACCTGCCAGAGACAGAGTATTGCCAAACATCCTACACACTGGTGTGAAATTTGTGGGAAATGGTCCAGAACTGTCTATTGATTTAAGATTCAGTATATCTAAGACACAAAATGCTTTAATAAATTCTCACCTGCTTAATTGGAGGTTTAGATGTTGGAATGTAAACTCAAGTTATGACTCAGCCACCATAACTCCATGTCTGTAGGATCCTGTAATTTAGTTATTTAAATCACTTTCTGATGGCCTCTCACAGATGCCCTGAGCTGGACTCAGCTGGGTTCAAGGCAGAGGGTACTCAGGAATCTTCCCAGTTGGCAGGTGTAGCTCACAAGTGATTAAAATACACTGCAAAAATGAGTTATTAAACCAGGCCATGACCTCTCTGGAGCTTAGCTGGGCCAAGCCTGTCAGACAGTTTATCTGAAGTTCAAGTGATTTAATCAAAATGCTCCACCCTGTCTTTATCTAAATTACAAATGTCAAATGCAACAATGAAAGTGCTTTAACATAGAAGTGACCTTGGATACAGAAATCCCCATAATTAAAAACGTGTCAAGGACCTGTCACACATCTTCCCTCGAAGGTCATCAGGTCTGACTCTAAAAATTTATCTTGCAATGGGAAGAGTCTTCACTGGAGCTGATGAACTATTTGGAGAGCATGATGTGATGAGCCTGTGGATGGAAGTGCTGAGCTTTGGGATGACACAGCTGGATCTGGGAACATGGAAGGTTCATAACTGGTTCTGATGGGGTTGTTTGTGGGAACTGAGCTCCACTAAATAGAACAGGACCTCTGGTACTGAAAGAGGAGTAGCCAGAAGTGGAAGCTGGGCCCTGCCAATTGTTCAAGGACCACAAAACTGCCTCTTGTGTGTCCTTTAGAAGGAACATAAATCAGTCAGTGGCCATGTCACCGTGTGTATCCATGTGGGACATCTGAAGGCAGTTCCCAACATTATAGAGTAGATTATTATGAACTTTATTGATTTGTTAATGGACTAATAATTGTCTCCTCTGTTACTTGCTATAAATTTCTTTAAACAGTAGATTATTCAGAGCCAGAGTCTCCTTTGCCCAGCTCTGGCTGTGACTGAATACCTGTTCTGGGGGAGGCAGAACTCAGGCAAAGCCTGATTTGTCATGTAGCTGGTGGTGCTGCATTTAATAATGCACTGCACTGAGAGGGGGAACAGGAGTTGGGAACAGAGGCAAAAGAGATGATTGAAAAATCATCTTCTGTTTTAACTATTATTTCAAAGAAACAGTAATTTTTACAAATTGATTTTTCTGTTGTCTGTTGACATAGAGAGAAAAGTAAACTCTGAAGTCACAGCTCTGGCCTACAAGCATTTTACTCCAAATTCTAGATATTAATCTTTTTTCTTTATACAGGCCTGTTGAACTCTAACATCCATTACCATTACATAGTGTAATCATCTTGGAGAATAATATGAAAGCAGTTGGGTGTCTGCTCAAGCTTTTGAGCCTTTAATAATTTTATTTGCTCTATATCAGAAAGCAGTTCTTGTACAAAGATTAGGTCTATCACCACGCTCCTTTCCGTTGAGTGTTTTCAAAAAAAGCTTAGTGGCTGCAAAGGGTTCCCTCATCCCCTTTATTTCCCTACAGGATGATGGTGAGGTTTCTTATTCTTTAGTTTGTTCTGCATTATTATGATACATGTAACTGTATTAAAGTGACAATTTTGCTTCCCAAGGCACAAAGTTGGATGCAGGTTGTTCCTGGCCAGCACTTACTGTGCTTTGTTTAGGACAAATAAAGGCCCTGTTCTGGAAATTGGTGATGATTGGGATCTTCTTTCTGATCTCTAACCACAGGATTGTATTTTTGCTTGTACCAAGAACATAAAGCTCCAGTTTGCCCTCAGGAGTCTGTTCTGCACTTGGTCATATTCAGCTGTGTGCTTTACCAAGCCAGGGTGTGAGTTGTCACGTGTAACAAAACCATGTGTGGTTTAATGTGTCCATCAAACTGCTACCCTGTCCTGGGCCACCTCCTGTCCCCAGGAACAGCGAGATTCTTGCAGGGACCCAGTGCTGGGAACAGGACTGAGGAATTGCTGCTGGCTCTGGAAGAGCCTGGGGCTGATCCTGGTTGAGTTCCTCAGCACCACTGTGGACAAACCAAGGAGCAGGAACACATCCTGAGGTCCTGCAGTCAGCATTGGCTCATACCCCTGGAAAAAACCCTTACATGTTCTTAAAAATCCTGATTTCCTGCCTCAGGGTGCAGTTCCACAGGAGCTGGACCTTTCTCAGCCCAGGCTGTGACACAGGCTGTCCCTCCTCTGTTCCTCTGCAGTATTTGCATTGGGTGACTCCAGAGCTGCCTAAAGCCCTTCCTGGGGGTGTTTTGCCCCAAGTTGGTCTCCAGTTCTTGATCTTTGTGACTTTGCAGCTGGAGGTGCTGGTGCTGACACGGCAGAAGGACCAGCCATCACAGAGGGTAGGATTTGATGAAGGTGGAGACCGTGGAAACTTCACTCCTGTCAAACAGTCACCTTTGTTTTATCTCGGATTTTGTCTCTTTTCTTGGTAGGTGAGGAGAAACCTGCTGATATTGGATCTGCTGATGTTACTCTGTTTTGCCTAATGCCTTTATTTTATTTCATTTTTTTTTAAGGGAGAAACTTTTTCTTTGAAACTAGAGCCTCATGGACTTAACAACACAATGTAATATTTATTTATTTATGAAAAGCTGTCAGTGTTGTTGCAGACTTATAATTCACCTGCTCAGCTTCAGTCTGTCACAAAGAAATCAAATGCTGACTGTAACAGGTTTTTTTCTTAGAAAGTAAGTAAAAGCATTTGTAAAAGATTCTGTAGAGAAAACATGTCAACCCTTAGTGTTATCACAGGTATAAATGAGAGCCTGTGTATTCTGCAAGTCTTACAGTTTTTATTCCAACTTTCAGAGTATCTTCTTTTATTTCCAGATGAATCTGCGTTCTGTATTTACTGTAGAACAACAAAGGATATTGCAGCGTTATTATGAAAATGGAATGACAAATCAAAGTAAAAATTGCTTTCAGCTCATATTACAGTGTGCACAAGAAACAAAACTGGACTTCAGTGTGGTCAGGGTGAGTACTGAGGCCTTCCAAATTTGTTTGTTAAACTTGTACACATTTATTGCTTTACATAAAATATTTAGAGATGTGGAGTCTCTCAACTCCATCATTGCCTTAAATCAGGCTTCAGTGTGTGTATGTGACATGTTCATTTTTATAGTTTGTTTTCACTGGAATGTCTTCACATGACTGTTGTATTTAGCAGAGGCCTGGGTTGCACAAGGAGTAATTTTTGTTTGTCTTTTGCTGGGATTTTTTAAATTAGTCTTTAATAAATTACAAATTAGTTTGCCCTGTAGAAACTTTGTGCAATGTATTGTATGAGAGCAAGAAGCAAGGTCATGTTATTAAGAGACTGTTCTTAAGCTAAAGAAGTTTCTATAAGCTGATGTATTTGGGGAATAACTGTGGAACTATTTCTTTCTCTGTCACACTTGTATTCCACATCACAATCATAAATATTGTGGTCCCTCATGGCTATTTACAGTGAGGACATTCTTTTCTTATAAAACAAGAATGTCACCAGGGCTAACAGGAGCTCTTCCAAAGTCTATGAATTCCACAGGAAGGGAAATAATAATCCCTTTGTGAAACACTAGACACAAAATGGCTCTTGGCCGAGAGCAGAAATAGAAATCATGAAGCATTAGCTGAAAAAATAACAAGGGCAGTGCAGCTCCCAGGAGCTGCTGCAACACTGGACACTGAGGAGGAAGAAGAAGTGAGACCAGTCTGGGTTGTTTTTTATTTGGTTTACCAGTGATATATCGACAACAACAACCCTTCCTGCTCCCTGATTATTACCTGGATTCCCCTCCCTCACAATAGTCTGGAAACATTAAAAGTGTCCTTCTGAGCTCTTGGTGGTGGGAAGCTGTGAAAGTCAGCCAGGGATTGAGGCTTCTGGAACAGGCAGACAGTTGTAACAGGAATCTGGATGCTGATGGTGCACTGGGGGCCTGCTCTGCTATTTTTATGCTGATTGAATGTCCTGGAGGAGGCAGCCAGTCTCTCCTCTCTGGGCAGTCCTCCTTCACTCTCCAGATTTCCTTTCCCTCTCAGTTTCCCTTCCTGCAGTAAAGTATCAAGGCCTTTTTCCTTCAGTTTTATTCCCTTACTGAGCCCTGATTTGCAACCCTTAGAACTCGTGAAGGGTTTTTTTTGCCACTTGTGAAGTGCAGTCAAAACAGACCCAGTGTTTGTCCTGCATTTATCATATTTTTGCATGGTCTTACCCTTCTCTTCTTTACACCCCTCCTTCCTTCCTCTCTTAATTCCCCCTTTTTTCCTTTTTTTTTTTCCTACAAAACTCTTGGTCAGTGACTAGTTCTCCTTTGTACAACGTCCAGCAAAATGATACTTGGGTTCCAGCTGGCACTTGCAGATATGATTGTAATAGGAACATGAATTCCCTAAATGCAACTTATACTTCAAATATCATAACTCCATGAATGCATTCTTTCCCAGAATCAGGATTTCTGCCATCTCATCCCACTGAACTGCATCCAGTCTTTCCAGTCTTGAGCTGGGTTGGAAAGAAAGAAAAGTCCTATTTTCCCATTTATCATTTGGTGTAAACCTCTACAGATCTTAATCCTGCAATACATAAAATCTATTCTCCCTTGCAAAATTAGGAAATCTGAAGAGTATTTGTAATCTTTCCAGTCTCCAAGATGGCAAATACTTTGTCTCCTCTCTTCCTTCTTGTGTTCATCATCTGTGGCTTTATTAAGTTTCAGTGTAACCCAGGTAATTTTGCTAACCTTACCTAAGCCTTTGTTCTTTTTTTTTTGTTTTGCCAATTCAGTTTTAAGCCTTTTGGGGAAGTTCAGGTGGGTGTTTTGGATAAATGGTGGGAGTAAGAACTGGGAACACAGTCAGGAGGACTCTCAGCAGAGTCAAATCTGACTTGTGCTGTCTCATGAAACTGTATTTTATTATTAGTGCTATTAAGGTATTTGCATTTCTTAGAAAGCATTTATTTTCAGGAAAACTGTAAGGAAAACGTTCATATTTTAGTTCTGTACAGCTGGAAAAGTTAGGGATGAAATCTCTTTTCCTGGTCCAAAATTTGCAGTGTCTCCATTCAGTTGTAATTTCTCTCTTGAAAGTTTACTGACAGAGCAGAAATTAAAAAAAAAAAAAAGTAAAATTTAATCTTCTAAATCTGTTTTATACAGTAAAGGAAAATAACTTGAGGTCTGTGGCTATAAATTCTGTTTTTAAATTGGTTTTTAAGGAGAAAAATGTCATCACTAGTAGCTCAGATTTTACTGCATGTAACAAATTGGCCTCAAATTAGACATTTTGCAAAATTTGACACGCTTCCCCATCTGCTTCAAACCACAGCACGTTTCAACCTGTGCACAACTGCCACAGTGCCTGCATTTCTCAAATATTTTTTTCCTCTACTATCTATTACACAAAACCATATACTGTCATTGTTACTGTCAGGAATGTCCATAATGGCAAATTTCAGTTGGAATCTAATCCCTGTAGTCCTGATCTTGTCTATCAGTGTCTTTCAAAAGCAGGTTTTGACCTCAGATCTTGATTTTTGCGGCTGGCAGAGGAGGAATTAGCCCATAGGTCTGAGTACTTCACAAAATTGTTTTCTTCTTTTTCTTCCCCCCCTCTTAATTCTAGAATTGGCAGCTTCTGTTCGAGGCAGATTTGAAGGTCGTATCTCTCAGTTACTGGGTTACAAAAATTTAGCTCCATACCAGAGTGATGGCTCTGCAGTCTAAGGTGCTGAACATTAAAAACTTAAATTTGGGGGGATTAGTCACAGTGGTGACAATGAAACACATCTTGAGGGTAATTTTGGGAGAGAAGGCATGATACAGCATCAGGATTTTTGAGAAACTGGGGCTTTGGCATTGAGACTGGGCTTCTCCTGTGTATTAGTGTGTGGATCCCAAGCAGGAGGGGCCTGGATTTCCACTCTGTGTTGTTCAGGCCCGGATTTCCACCCTGTATTGTTCAGACTCTGCATAATCAGTCGATGATTTACATATTTCTCAACTTAGGTCACAACTTGAACACTTAACATTTCACCAGACCTGCTTCAAAACGGAATTGCCTGATTTTTGTGAGTCTTTAATGCCTCGTGTCGTGTTTGCTGTTGTTGGTTGCAGACGTGGGTTGGCAATAAAAGGAGGAAGATGAGCAGCAAGAGCGCGGTGGAATCCGGAGGGACCCCCCCAGGGACGGCCCCTGCCACCCCCTCAGTGCCCCCAGAAGTTCGGAACGTGGTCAATATTGCCCGATCCCACAGCCAGCAGTCCTCCTGGACCTCTTCTAATAATGATGTGATAGTGACTGGGATTTACAGCCCTGCCACCTCCTCGGGCAGGCAGGGATCCACCAAACACACCAACGCTTCCATGGCAGAGATGCACAAAACCTCCATCCCGAGGCTCCCGGGGAAAGGCAACGCGGAGTTCCAGCAGCAGCACATCCCTCTAGGACGACAAGTACCACACTGTAAAAATGCTTCCCTATTAGTAGGGGAAAAGACCATTATTTTATCCAGGCAGACGAGCGTGCTCAATTCTGCAAACTCCATTTACAGCCACACGAAGAAAAGCTACGGCGGCTCCTCGGTGCAGACGGCGGAGCTGGTGTTACCTCAGAAACCCATGATATGCCACAGGCCCTGCAAGGCTGAGCCCGTGGGCTGTCACAGGTCACATAAACCGGAGCACGTGGCTCTGGCATCGCACGTGCCCCACGGGCAGAGGGCTCACCCCAGGGACCCTGCCTGTAGCACCCAGAACCTGGAGATCCGCGAGGTGTTCTCCCTGGCGGTGACGGACCAGCCCCAGAGGATGGTGGCGGGAAGCACAACGCAGAAACATTCCTCTCTGGAGGGCAGCTGCCTGTCCATCGCCATGGAGACGGGGGACGTGGAGGACGAGTACGCCAGGGAGGAGGAGCTGGCATCCATGGGAGCACAAATCCAGAGCTACTCCAGATACTGTGAGAGCAGCAGCTCTGCTCGAGTGGAGAACCAAAGCGCAGCCGTGTCGGGGCCGGGCCGCAGCGGGGGCTGTGGGGCACAGGGGGGCAGTGCCAGGGACCTGCCTGACAGTGTTCTCTACCACAGCAGAGATTACCACCTCCCTGCACGGACCTCACTGCACAGCACAGCCAGCACAATGTACAGCGGTGCTAATGCATCCAGGAGTACCTTTTCTCCTCATTTTACATCTTCAAGTCAACTGAGGCTGTCACAAAACCAAAATAATTACCAGGTAATCCATCAGTTTATCTCTGTCTTCAAACCTTGAAGCCGAGGTTGTAGATAAATACTGTATACAAATATAATGTAGATAAATGTTATCTCTCAAAGCTGGTGGCTGCTAAGCAATAGGTTCACCTTTCTGCAGGCTTCTACACCTTTCAGTGGAGATAGTTCCTTCTCAAACACAGTGCAGGCAGCACTGCAGGGTGGTGCCACTCTTACCTGTCCAGCTGAGCCCCTGGTAGCTGTATATTGAAGATCAGTGAGGAGTTCATCAATTCAACAGCTAAATTTTGGGTGCAGGAGGGTCATACCCATGAGCTGATGCTCAAACCTGAGCCAGCAATACCCCGGGCTGTTCTGTGTGCACACACATCACATGTGGCACAAGAACATGGGATGCAGTTGCTCACCCTCATTGATGTCAGCTTGGATTCCTGTACCCCCTGTGCAGGTGCCAGTCTCCTGGAGCTGTGTCTGTGAGGGATTAAGATCTCCTGTGAAGAGTTAACATGATGGGACACACTCAGGGAGCAAATATTCATCCTTTCCCGCAGTGTCTAATTCCAGTAGCAGTTTTACATTCAACCCCTTTATTCCTCACCCTGTACAAAAGTCCCTTTAGTGATCCTGAGGGGAAAATTAAATGCAGATAATTGAAGAAGTAAAAGATGTTCAGAAGAAACTGCAACACTTGACACATTTTTTTTTTTATTATTTGTTATTACTAGGGGAGAGAGAGTTGTGCAGAAAACATCCAAATTGGTATTTTTCATGGATTTTTATGTCATGTGGCATGACATAGCCTAGAGACACTGAGATAAAAGTCTTTTAAAGCTGGCAGGATGTGATCCTGCATGTCTTACCTTCATGCATTGGCTTGTTATTGCCTTTTTAATTTATCCTGAAAATGAACCATGTCAGCACCATACCAGCTTTTCCTGTGCTTTGCTCAGTGGGATAAGGGAGCAAGACTTTGCGGAGTGCTTTTTATTTTTTATTTCCTTTTTTCCTGACTTGTTCCTATCTCGTGTGAGGCTGTGAAAGAAAGCTCTTGAGTCCGAGTAAGTGCCACTTTTCACCCAAATTATTGCTTTTCTTTTTAAACCTGAGGTTTGATGAACAGAAATACTCTGGAGTGAATTCTGTGGAGTAGGTGGGACATCAGACGAGCTGTTCTTCCCTTTCTCCCTTCTCTCCCTTAGGCTGTCAATGTTTGCTGTTACTGTTCTTACTTGAGTTGTAAAATTCATGAAATGCTGTTTTCTTTTGACATCCCAGTTTCATAGGAAAGGAAGGGCTGTAAATGTGCAGATTTGTCCGGTGAAGGGCTGGTAGAAGTGCTTATGGTCAAGTTAAGGACATTTTTCTAAAGTTTCATGAAGTGAAATCCATTAGTGACACCTCCAGCTCTGTGCTCATGGAGCTTATTTCACTCTTGAAAAAACTTCGGAGAGATTTATTTCCTCTGTTTTTATTTTTTTTTTATGAAATTTGGAATAACTTTGATTTTTTGGGGGCAGGGATGGTCCTTTCAAACAGCTGAAACAGTTCATGGTAGGTGACATTTTATCCATCTGGGTGGTGTGATATAGATCAGGACAAGATCTCTATAACTGTTTTTAGGTTTTTTCTTTTACTTCACCCCTGTTATAATAATGTACCTATTTTTTTGAGAACTGAACTCATCTGTACTTGTTTGACCTCCCTGTCTGCCTCAGGGACCTTGTTCTTTGGATTTGGGAATGCAACTTATATGGAGGGAGCTTTTTTTTTCCCCATCATATCCCTTTTCATTCCAGAGTTTTAAACCTTGGAAAACCTGAGCAGGTTGCTATTAATTCCCTTATTGCTGTGAGCAGGCACCCTGTGAACCTCCTGGCTATTAGAGATTTCATAAGGTGCTGTCTGAATCCTTTTCTTGTAGTCAGTTCATGTTCATTTTATTGCCCATGTTTAGCTAATTTATCCAGCAGCATAGGAAGGAAAATCCTTAAACTTGGGGAGATCTTCCTGAATTTAAAAATAGATTAAACTTGAGCTAAATAATTATTGCACTAGTTGGAACATCCAAGCAGATGCTTCTTCAAAGTCAGGACTGTGTGATTTGTGTTTTGATGAAGTAATTACTGTCGTGTATTGGTGAGGTATCTAATTAGCAATTAGTTATAGCTTCCTTACTGGTTCAATTAATCAAATTCATGTTAGTGTAACTTAAGACTAAATTTAATTAAGTGATCAATTTTAATGCCTGAGGAGTTTCAGTAAACAAATTGTTCAACCTTCTTCCTTGTCTTAGTTTGACTTTTAAGTGTGTAGAAGTAGAGAGGCTGTTTGTGCTGTCCTTGAGGCTGAATTGGGGTTTAGTCTTGCTTTCTTCCCCCTCCCAAGGGGACAGAAATACTGTTGAAGATGTGTATTTTTAATTACTTTGTTAAAAACACTGAAACACAGTATGTAATTTAACCCTATCTACTTTAAGAGAGCATCCAAAGCCTTTCAGTCAGAATAGATTATGCAGGTGTATATATATATTTATTTAATTATAGAGTTGGCTTCAGGGATGCTGCTTTGTAGACTGAGTGGGGAGAACCTGTGAGGTTCCTGCAAAAACACCACATGTGGCCCCAAGCAGTGCTGGAACACAGCAACCAGCTCCTGGTTTGGTCCAGTGCACTGAATTTAGGATATAAAATCTACAGGTGAATTGGGAAAAGATTCTTTAGCTCCCTGTATAGTGTAACCCCTTTGATGAAGGGACAGCTCGAGGGTTGCAGCACCTCTGAGTGTCCCTGGCAGATCTGCAGTTTCTGAGGCACAATCTCTGAGTCAGGCATTTCAGGTCATCACTTTTGTAGCTGTCCCAGTTGGACCAGGACTGGAGTTATGCCTGTGGATGCAGAATAATGCTGCATCTCACTCTAAAAATACACACATTCCCCCCCCACAAAACCCTAACTCCAACCCTTCTGCCTTTTTTCATCACGACACTTTAGAATTCTGCCATGCACGTTGTCTTTCAGGCAGTTCTGCTGAGATGAACTTGACTGTATTTGGCCTTCTACCTGTCAGAACCTGTGTGCATTTGTGTTCCTGGCAACCCTTAATGCTCTGCCAGGCTGAGTTTGCTTTATTCACACAGAAAAGCACCTTTTCTTTGTGGCCCCATTGGAAATTTGTGAAGAGGAGCCACCTGGGTGGATGCTCAGGGTGCCTTTACAGTGGATTCTGTGGTGTGAAGCTGTTGTGTGGGATATGGGATAGTAATAGATGTAACAAGTTTATACAGAGTTTATGACATGTGTGTGCAGTGAAGAAATTAATATTTTAGCCTTAAAATCTAATGCAGATTTGCCCTTAGGAGGGGATGGTGCTCATTTCTACCCCCATCAACCCACCGTGTGCTGTAATGAGAAAGTGTCTGACCTTGGGCAACCTCCAAGTGCTTCCAGCTGAAAGCTTGAAGAATAAAAGTGTCTTGTGTGCTTGTACCCCAGCCAGCTGTCCCAGGGATGCTGGTTTGGTTGTGCTCATGCTGCAGGAATTATCAGGAGAGCACCTTGCAAGTATAAAAACTATTAGTGGAGTTTGGCTCAGTCAGCAGAACCACACAGGTTTTTCTTCCTCAGATTGCAGATACGACTTGAGATGTATTAATGTAAGAGCTGTGTTTAGTGTCTCAAGCATTGCTTGTCTGCAGCAAAGATGAACATGGAATCCTAAATAACCCTAAAATATTCCAGGCTACGCCACATTTCAGAGGGCCAGGGAAAACAGTCCGAGATTATTATTTAATAATGTCTGACCTCTAGGAATGATGGGGAAGCAATGGAAATTGAGGCAGCTAACCTTTGCCTTCACACCCCTTCTCTTTCCTTCTCCAACCTGATATCCCTAACTTTTCTGCTAATGCTCAAATCCTTGTCAATCTGACAGTGAACAGTATCGTGATGAACACGAGAGCATTTTTTCAGAAAGTTTAATTGGTGTAGTTTAGAAAACTGTTGGACATCAGCCCTTAGTTCTGTTGGACATCAGCCCTTGTCTGACTCGTCTGCTCGTTCCTGCCAGTCTGGGGACAGGCTGAAAGTGAAATCTGGTGAAATACAAGTTTTGAGATACTCATTATCTTACCCTCACCCGAAGAAAAACAGTGTTTTAGTCTTAACAGTGAGGCCCAGTGGGACTTTGCTTGTAAATCTTAACCTGTTTCACAGACACTGTTACCTGAATTGAATGTACAGTGCTGAAGTCTTGGGAAAGCTGCTAAGTTTTAGCTCTCACAGCAATTTAAGCTGCTCTTGTTTTCTGTTCTGTTTCCTCCTTGTCCTCTGCAGATTTCAGGAAACCTTACTGTGCCTTGGATTACAGGTTGTTCCAGAAAAAGAGCAGTAAGTACATTTCTATTTAAGTATCTAATGCATCAACTGAAGCAATGGGAAGTTGATAAAAATGCATTGTTGAAAATGTCAGTTCTATTTACCTTGTGTTGAATTTTTTCCCTTTATACTTGGACTAAAACAAACATTATCTGCGGGTGCAGTGTTTCAGGTGAGGTAAAGTTTGATGTATATCTTTAAAACCAGGCCAAGGTCATAATCCTGTGTGAAGTGATGTGATGCTCAGGTGTGGGAATTGTCTATTAGGTGAAATATTACATTAGAATTGATGGACTGGGAGTTTGGAGCTTAGAATATGTTTTTTATATTGCAAATAAAATGATTGTTAATTGAGGCAACTGAATGCTTAAGAGAGTAACTCCCTGTGCAGCTTCTGTGCACATGCACAGAATCAGTCTGGGCTGTCTGTAGGAACTTTAAAGTATAATTTTATCCACATACATGTCATTTCACATTAGCAGAATCAGCCAGGTTGGTGTCCTCAATTCAGAAATTACTCCAAACCATAACACAACAGCTTTTATCAGGGAAAATAAACCTCTGTCCAACTCTTTTGTTTGATTACTTCTCACATTTCTGGCTTCTCTTTGAAGACATTTCAGTTCTGCTTCATCACCATGATTGGATGGTACAGCCAAGCTCTCCAGAGGCTGCTCCACCAGATCCAAGGACTAGGGAGGTGTCTGTCATGGAACCCAAACTTACCCATCCAAACCCCCAATCCGTGGAGCTGGCAGTGTCCTGGCAGTGGGTGCTGCTTTGGCAGTGAGGTCTGGGTAATGGAAGAACCTTTCCTTGCCCTCTCCTGCTGTAACCAGTGGTTTTTTCTTTATTTATTAGTTTTGGTTATTCTGTTTAGTCTCCAAAAGGTGTGAGTTTCCTGCATAAGTAGGAATCTAAGAACCATGGCACTGTATTTTCTCTCAGACTTTTTCTAGGTCTCAGCTGTAGCACTTCCAGTTTCTGCAGACTTTGGTGGTATCACTTATTTGAGTTTTCACAGAGAGCACTTTAGAAGAGCATCTCCCAGAGGAACTGGTACTTTCATACAAATCCTGTTGTGCTCAGTCCTTCTTTTCTCTTCCCTAAGTGCTAATTCTCTTGGGTAGGCTTTTTAAAATGTAGCTCTTGTCTGGAAGGCACCTTCCCCTCATCACTTAATGACCTTTTAAAGCAGCTGCTGAGTGTCCTCAGTACAGTTTCACTTTTGAAAGGGGGAGGTTTTTCCCCCTGCCACCCCATCCACAGCCAATATCTAATTGCAGGGTAGCCCAGGTGGAGTGTGTGAGCTGTCAGGTACATATTCTGCTGCTGAGTTTGTCTTTAGAGTTGACTGCCCTTACTGGGGATCAGGGGAGTGCCAGAGCCAGCTCAGAGTGGGCAGCAGGAGCAGGTGGCTGGGAGTGGGATGTGATGCTGGCCCCTCATTGCAGCACTGGCTGGGTTCCTGGGGCATGGTGGGCATGCTGATCCCTGACACAAGCTGGAGAAGACATTTCTGCAGTAAGTTTAAAACCTTCAAGGATATGGAGGTGCCTGTTTATTAATCATACAATCATTAAGGTTTGGAAGGACCTTTAAGATCACTGAGTTCAGCTGCCAGCACAGCACCACCCCCTTGTTCACCACTAACGAGGTCCCCAAGTGCCACATCCACACACTTTTTTGAACACTTGCAGGGCTGGTGACTCCTGAGCAGCCTGTGCCAGGGCTTTCCATGAAAAATATGTCCCAATATCCAACCTGACCCTCCCCTGGCACAGCTTGAGGCCGTTCCCTCTCCTCCTGTCCCTTGTTCCCTGGGAGCAGAGCCCGACTCCCCCCCCAGCTCCCCCCTCCTGTCAGGGAGTTGCAGAGCCAGAAGGTCCCCCCTGAGCCTCCTTTTCTCCAGGCTGAGCCCCCCCAGCTCCCTCAGCTGCTCCTGCTGCTCCAGCCCCTTTCCCAGCTCTGTTCCCTTCCATGGACATGCTCCAGCCCCTCAGTGTCTTCCTTACAGTGAGGGGCCATTAAGAATGGTTATTAGGGAATTCTTTTTCCTTACACCTTTACCCCTGTATATTTTTAATCAATAAAATGCATAAACCCATTGGTTAATACAATCTAGTTTGACAACATCGGTGTCCAGGTTTGTGCAGGCACTTTCCTGGTTGGAATGCAGAATCAGCCTTCCTAAGGAAACAGGGTTAGGACCTGGCACCCTAAAACTGCTGTGTACAGCCAGGTGTAAGACAACAAACAGAGAGAAGAAGCTCCTACTTCCTAAAAAACTTCACTTTCAACTGTGAAATCCTTTTGAAGAAAGGGTGTGAGGGAACAAAAATAGAATGACTGGAGTTGTAGAAGTGCCATTATGGCAATTACTGCCATTCAAAAAGGAAAAAGGCTAATCTGGATTTTGTTTAAAATGGAGAAGATCGTCTTTTAGATGCTCTGAATTTTTAATCTTTTGCCTTGATGTTTTGTTTTCCTTGTCCTGTCCTTCAGCTGCATCAGGAGAGAAATAAAAGCTGTGCAGTTCTGCAGAAACTCTTTCTCTCTGCTGGAAGATGATGTAATCCTGATTGTTAATGAATATTAGTCTAGAAATATCACCCTCTCAGTTACTCATGAGAGGGCCTTTGGAAGTTACAGAGTTCTGTGTTCTGTCCTGGTGCATGTGCATTGGCCTTTACAAGTGCATTGATTTTTGGTTTTTCACAGGGTGGTGGAAGGATAACAAGGATTCAAAAATAGCAGTAGAGATATTGGTTAAAGAGCATTAAAAGGGGGAAAATATCTTCACTTTTGCCCTTAGATTTAAGTCTAGTGTGTATGACTGTGTTTCAGCTCTGTGTCATCTGAGGTCCCAGCAGACTGGTTAGTGTTTGGGGTACATTTAAATATGTTGGTATGATATGGAAAACATTTGTCACACAGGTGATGGCTCTGGGTAAGCTGTGCCTTAGCTGTGAAGTTGTATTTTGGGCGGAAAGAGGGGTTTTGATTTGCCCAGAGCTTCAGCCTGGGGTCTGTGGGCTCTCAGTCTGACACATATTTGGGGAGGGGAAGTACCTGAAATGGGTGGAGAGAGTTCCTGTGCTGAATTTTGATTTTAAATTACTCTTTGCTCATGGCCTGTTTGAATAAAACTCTGGAGACAGTGGCATTAAAGTGTCCCCCCTTGGAGTCCTCCTGCCACAGGAGGAGAGCAGTGGGCACACTTTGAGTCAGAGGAGGAGCTGCTCTAACCCAGGTCGGTGTGAGACCTCCACCAGTTCTGTGGCACATCCGTGGGCATGGGGAATACAGCTGGATTGGGGTTGGGAGACAGCAGTGGAACTGCTGAGGAAAATGCTCCTTGGAGTGGGTCTGAAAGGCCCCTGAAAACTGTCTGCTGCTGTAAGTGGATGTGAGCTGGAGAAAAAATACCTTGGAGCAGCTTTACAGTGAAGCCCCCACAGGGATTAAAGCTGCCTGAAGTCAGAGGGCACCTCAGCTGTGCCTTTTTGTTTTCAGACTACACCAACATGAAGTTCTCTTCACCTGTTCAGATTCCTCTGCTCTCCCAGGAGGGAAGAAAAGTGGTTTAGTGAAGTTGCTTGGAGCAAGACAGTTGGGATCTTCAGGGAGGGAGATGAGCCAAGCTGAGGGTCTCCACAGGGCTGAGTGGGAAACTGTCCTTGTTCATACTTGGTGTCTTTGGGAATCTTGGTTAATGTGTTTCCTCCTCCTGGGAAATATTTCACCACCTATCTCAAGATACTTCTCCATGAGATGATCCAGAGCGTGTCCTGACCTTCCTCCCAGGAACAGCACCTTTGTCCAGCAGCAATCCTCAGGGAATGCAAAGGGAGAGCAAGTCTGGTCATCATTGCAGACTAAATACATCTTTTTATTTATTATATGACGTGCTGCACCTTGGCTTATTGTGTGCCATGAACCTGCAGGCCAGAAATATGTCACACCTGGGCAGGAGTTGGAAAACAGACTTTCTGGTCTAATGTGAGGAAGTTATTAATAGATTAAGTAAGAATCATGATAATTACCATCTAAAAATCAGTTTACTTTAGGGCCGAATGTTCAGTATTTAACAAACTAGTTCAAAATCTCAAGAAGAAGGGCAAATTTTCAGTTTGTGTGGATTGAGGGTTGATTTGGAAATTGCAGAGTGAGATGACAGGTTCAGAGTGTGATTTTTTTTTTGGCTAGACTGTTCATTGCACAGATACCTCTTTTTTCTTTTTTCCTTTTCTTTCATCTTTTTAGCTGAGTTTGGTTTAGAAGCAGATATTAACTGAATATATATAATTTTGGCTGAGTGTTGAAGCTCATGAGAGAGTTACAGCTCTTCTCACACTGGGGTCCTGTGAAATATTGACGAGTTCTGCTTCCATCAGAGCAAACTTCAGGCTTCCCCAGCCAGTGGGAAAGGATGCAAACCATCTCTGGTGCAGAAATCTAACAGTGTGTGCCCTAAGAGTTTGCCAGCAGTAAGAGTTTAAGGTGCCTTCAGATGCTGCTTTTCCAAAGTCCTTTGTGCCTGAAGTTTGTGCAGCTGTGTGTGAGCAGCAGGATGGGGGTGTCACTGACATGGGGGCACTGGTGAAACCTGAACCTAAAACCTCAGACTGAAGGAATGTGGCATCTGGCACGGCTTTAATGAGGTTAAATATCTTGGTAGTGTTAGGGGACAATGCAGACCTTCAGAATTTGTATATGGGAAATCAAGAAATAATAAACAAGAGTAAGATTCATATTAAATGGTGCAGATGGGAAAGGGGAAACCATAGTAAAATGGGTCAGAAATAACCATTACTATATATAAATAAGATCTTGAGATAGGAATTGATAATCCCTGGAAAAAATCAGACATTAATTAGTGTCAGGGCTCAGAGAGCTGAACGATGGTGTCATTGGGAAGGAAAAACTGACACGGTGCTTGTACAGAAGAATCTGGGATTTGCTCATACCTTGAATGCTGTGCTCGCTTCTGATCTTCCCATCCCTCCCAAAATACAACAGAGGAGCAGTGACAGGGATCAAAGGCACGGAAAATTTGTTGTGAGAGTTTGTTTGCTAAAAATAACCATTACCTCAGCCCGTTTCATCACCAAGCATCAGAACGGAATGTTGATTTAATGTGATTTCACTGCAGTTTAAATGAACCCAACACACAGTGCTCAGCTGCACCATAAATGCAGTAGTTACTACATTTATATTAAACCCCCAGTTCTCTCGTTTTTTAGCATGCCTTTGATTAATAATCTGAGATTTGTGTATAGCTTTTGTGCACGTGGCCTGAAACATTTTCAACTCGTGCATAAAACTGGATCTAAAAAAGCAGGATCTAATAAAAGGCAGGATAAGGACACTCCACTGCCGGGCAATTATTCATCCCAATTATAGACACCGGATTTGCACCACAGATCCTGCCTGCACAGTGGGTGTGATGAGGGGTCGGCCCAGTGCCAGGAATGTCTATAATAAACTGGGTCATCTCTTCCAAGGATGTTGTTGTTACACTTGGGAGGTCGGGGGATAAGCCGGGTTTAACCCTGCGCGCGGCAGAACTGCTGATTCAGTTTGCTCACCAGGATTGCTTCTCCTTGGGAATTGAGAGGCTGCTTTCTGCTGGAAGAAGCCTCTCCTGATTTTTTTTTAACTGTGGACAACAAAAGTGGTCAATGTGAGGAATTCAGCCAACAGCCAACACTGCTGAGGGTAAAGCCGAGCCTTGAATTGGCAAACCCAGGAGAGGAAATGAGAATTGAATTCATAGTTTGATTTAATGAAGTAAAAATAAGAACTGAATTACTGCCTTGTCTTCATCTGTAGAAAGTATTGCCATAAATATGAAGCTTTTCAGTGTTATCTTTTGATATTTTTTCCTATAACTGTGAATATTAAGATATTTGTTGGACTTGAGTTTTTCCTCTTGCTTCCTCAGTTCCCCTGATGATATTAAGCATGAGAAGGTTATTAACTACGTTGATGGAAGCATAGTTACATGTTCAATGTAGAAATTCTACCCTTTATTTTCTCACAAAAGTCATTGACTGTTGTAAAAGCATTATGTAATTTTTAAGCAGTTTATAATGCAGGAGTCAAACTTGAGTATAATCCATGTCAAGGGGATGATCCTGTAATTGAAGGTAGTTTGTGATTTCCCTAAGAAATTGCTGATTAAGGCACATGGCACAGCAGGTTACATGAAGGCAGTTAATCTGGATCTGAAATTTGGACATGCTGAAGTGTTATTAACATCCAGAGAGTTTAAGGGCTGACACTGAGCCCAGGATGATGGTGCAGCAAAGGAGAGCAGGGTGTGGAAATGATCATCTTTTGGGGTCTCTGTTCTCCATTTCCTCTGTGCCCTGTAATAGGTGTCAGGGTGATTCCTGTACTGCTGGGATGAGGGACAGGATGAGGTGCCTGGTGTGGCAGCAACTGCAACAGCAAAAAGCAAAAATATACATTGTCAGCTGAAACACCGGGGATTGTTTTTGACAAGGAGGTAAAAAAAAAAATCCTCCTATTTTTTCCCCCTTTCCTTTCCACAGCAAGCAGCTGCAAAAGACCTTTTTGAGAGTGTAGCTACAGGAGACTTCTCTAAACTTTTGAAACATCTGCTTTAATCTAAACTGTTGAGACTGACTCTACAGCCCTGGTCCTGGAGCAAAATTTTATAGCCCTTGTGAGGTGAAAACCGTTGAATGGTGATGTACCTAATAAGATTTTTATTGAAACATTTGTAGTAGATGATCAGAATTAACATCTGCCCATCTAAAATGGAAAAGGTGTGAGACTGCATTTTTAAGTAAAATTTTTGAAGGTCAGGTGGCTGCTGCTTTCTTCTTGTTTTGAGTAAGTAAAAGCTGAGCAGGCTCTGCACCCTTCCTGAGCACCATCCCTTTGGTAACTTGAGTCAGTCACTGTGTGTCTTTGTCCAGTGCAAGATCCTCTTGCATCTCACATTCCTGTTGGCCAGTTCTTCCCTGGGTTCTTTCAGTACAAGCATTTCTGAGATAATTGGAAAATCACGTGGCAAACAGAAACCTGAGCTCCCTCCAGCAGCAGCTGCTCTTTCTTTGGGTTTTGTTCTAATTTGGCCAACACAACAAACTTAAGTGGGAGAAGACAACCCTGAGTGAGGCTGCTCCCTTCCCTGGGCAGTAACATCAGACAGGTTTCTTTTTGCTTCTCCCATTTCACCCCTCTGCTGGTGGGGGGAATGTCCACAGTGTGTTCCAGGGGGTCCTTTAGCTGGGCATGTTGTGTTTTGTGCTCCCGCTGAGCACAGATCACAGTGAGCTGGGAGTTCCCTGTCAGTGGTTGCAGCAGTGCTGTCACTGAGCTCTCCAGAACCAACAAGAAATGTTATTTATTTATGTTTCAAAAACGCTCAGTGTCCTTTGGAAGGTGAGGTTGCCCTGAGCATTCAAGAATGCAGGCCAGGCCGGGGTTTCTCCGTATATTTGGGGTGTTGGTGTCACTCTCCTTTCTGCCTTCCCTTTTCTCAGCTCCCCCACCACAGAGCAGTCCTTTTAGAAATCAATCTATTTTGCCAGCAGCCATAAAAGGAGCTGTTGCTGCAGTGATCCAGGAGATAACTACACTTTTGTTCCTTGGAAAGGGCTTGTAGGTAGGAGCAGCTCAGGTCAGGTGTGCCAGGAGCACGACTCGGCTCAGGGTGAACGGGCACCAGGGATTTGGCTTTGCTGCACTTTGCTCAGCCTGGAGCAGTCTTGAAATGTGCCAAGTGGATTCCTTTTGGATGAGAATAGCCTGGAGCTTGCTGTCTGGGAGCATCTCCTGTGCTGTGGCTGCTCAGGGTGTGCAGGAAGCAGGAGAGCGGCTCCAGCTGTGCTGTGTCCATGGATGCTCCACTCTGCCCCTGGGTGCCATCAGCCAAGGATGGGTGGGATGGAAACAGCTTCTGTCATTCTGGACTTGGATGGATGAAATGATAGCCAGGAAAAACTCCTGAGTGCCTGGTTGCAGTTAATAATCATAGAATCATGGAATTGTGACAGCTGGAAAAGACCTCAAAAGTCGAGTCCAGCCAGACCATATTTGAATATACCTGGTACATTTATTACTGTGGCACCCAGGATTATTTTAAGGAGATAAGGGTTTGATACCCCTATTTCATGTTCAACATTAAGGTGATTCAAGTGCTTCTAACATTTTTTTTAAAAAGTGATTTTTAAAAGAAGAAAATTGTAAGGATTACCATATTCTGAAGATTAACAAAAGCTAGAACTGGTAACTCTACAAGGTTGTCAAATGATCCTATTTCTGCAAAATTCCCTTTTACTCCATTTTAAAGTTATTTCATTCTAACTTTTCACAGTTTTTAAATGAGCAAACACAGATTTCAGCTATTGCAATCGTGAACAAAATGAACTAGTAAATAATGACAATTGGGCTACACGGGCTACAGGTTCACAGTGCAGACTTTGTGGTTGCATTTCTGTACTCTGAATAGCAGGAGAGGTGACAAACATGGGTTGGTGTAAAGAAACTGTAGATTTTAGTTAAAATTCTGGGTGACAAGCTTTTGATAAAGGTTGGAAGCTCTACCAGAGAAATACACTCTGTGCCCACCCCAGTTCAAGCAGTGGTAGGATGTTCAGGAGTTCTTTTTCAGTGTTACTCCGTTTGTCAGTGATCCACTATCACATATTTTGATAAGTGTAGACAAAGAGTTTGGGAACTCTCAGATAAACAGTGGAACCAATTTAACTCAAGCTTCCCAAATAAACATTAAAGTATTCCCTTTAGGAAGTCAGAATCCTTTGAATTATGCATGTATTGTAGTTTGCAGTAAGATAAAAGAACTCTAAGGAGGGGGGAGGGTGAGAAACTTGAAAAGCCTTAAGAAGTAATTTGCATAAATTGGGTGGAGAGAGTAAACAGCACAAGGGGAAAAAAGTTCTTTCAGTAAGGCCTTATAGGATGAGATAAAAAAAATGACAAAAAAAATCAGGTGGAGTTGAAACAAAGCTGAAGTGCTTTAAACCTGCCACTGCCTTTAAAGCAAATCCCAGGGAACTCTGAACTGTCCTGAATAAAAAAACCCAAACTTTAAAAAAATAAACTCTTAAGGGAGAACTAAAAGAGAAGAAGAGCCATGGAGACAGTACCACTTATGTCTTACTGTACATGAGACCTCTGGCAATGAAATGGGATCAGCAGATTTTTTGCTAAATCTTAACAGTGTGTTTTTTATCTTGCAGTTACAGGACCGCACACAATTTAGTGACCGAGACTTAGCCACCCTAAAGAAATACTGGGACAATGGCATGACCAGCCTGGGCTCAGTCTGCAGAGAGAAAATTGAAGCTGTGGCTGCAGAATTAAATGTTGACTGTGAAATAGTGCGGGTAAGAAATCCAGAGTCTTCCCTTATCTTGTCGCTGGAGCAAAAATAGGACAGATGAAAGGCTTTAAAAATTTCATGAGGGAGCTTGAAATAGATATCACGTATTACATAATGAATGACCACACTGGGAAGTGCTCTCCTGCTCTTTCTGCATCTATATATAGTACAAGCCCTCAGGTAAGATCTTATTGATCAGCAGCAGAAGCAGCACTACAAGCTGTTTGACATCCTCTGGAGTAAGATTTTAAGTAAAAATGTTTCGTTTTGTAGGGAGATCCTGGAAGACTGAAAGGTGCTATTTGTATTGCTGTTAAGATACCAAAAAAAGACTTTTCTATAGACAAAGGGAAAGGATTTCTCATTCATGCTTATAGGAAAAAAACACGTGAAAGAAAATGCTCCAAAATAGGAAAAAAACTATTTAACAGGAGTATCTTGAGGGCAGGCTGAGATGTGATGGAGAGCACAGGGCACTGTGAACAATTCTGGGTTCAGTTTGATAGTCCACGTAGGTGTGGCTGAGGAGGGATTGCTTTACAAGGTACAGGGGTGGTGGAGGTCACCTGACTCCCAAGAACACCCCACATCATCTCTTCCAGAGGCTGGGAAGTTTGGTACGGCCTCAGTTGATGCCACTGTGTCCCAGATGAGCAGAGATACAGCATCACTCTCCAGCTGGGGGGTCTCAGTCACTCAAGGTGTGTCCATCCTCAGGAAAGAGTCTGGCTGTCCTTCAGTCCGACAAAAACATGACAAGAGCCCCCATAACAGGCAGGACATTTATGATCAGTCCTTTCAGTCTCCATCCTCTTTTTCCACCTCTTTCCTAAATTCCTGACGTTGCTGCAAAAGCAGAACTGGGAGCCCTTATTGAAACCCTCCTGTTGGGGAGACCTCTGGGTTGGAACATCAGAATGGTACCAGAGCTACTCTCAGTGTTAACACAGATCTGATTATTTACTTGTTTCCCTGAATCCTAAAAAACTAAACTGTACTTTTGGAGGCTGAAAAGAATTACTCTTTTCTCTGTAGAGAACAAAGCTGCTCCCTATTTCCCAAGCTCTTCAGTTTGCTTTCTGAAAGGTGGAGCTGTTGCCACTGCCAACATCTCCTGGACATGACACAGCTCATTTCCAGGACAGTGACATCCATGCTCCCTTAGTTTGTTCCCTTAGGAATCACACAGGGTGACACTGTGAAGTTCTGTACATACCTTTAATCTGCTGCAATGCTTTTGTCCTCAGGGCAGGGCTCTGGCTTAACCTGTATCAAAACACACACAAATGAAGGAAAAAAAGATATCTTTTCTTCTTTTCTTCTTTATTGTTACCAGTGTCTGCCCCACCTCTGACTCTGGTTCCTCTATATGGCAGACTTGGGAATTGTAGCAAGAATTGTGATGTAAAAAATAAATGCAGCATATATAAAGTAGTACTGAGTATCCATATAAACCCAACTGCACATATATATATATATATATATATATATATATATATACACATATTTGGGTTTATATATATATATATGTATGTGTGTGTGTATAAAAAATAACACCCACAACAAATTTAAATATGTGAACTCCGGCCAAAACCTCTTTAACTTAAAATATTTCTCTTTTTTGCATTATAATTATTGCTGATTACATTTTGGTTTGGGTTCTTTGTTTTGTGTTTTTTGGTTGGTTGGGTTTTTTTTGGTTTTTTGGGGTTTTTTTACACATTTTTATTAATTCATAGAAGAATAGCAGAATAGCCCTCTTGGCAGCAAGACAGACATTTGCTAAGGAGGGATGTCAGCTATGAAGCTCCTCAGAAATATGGGAGGAATATAAGACAACTGCATAACAATTTTATATATATATTTTTTTAATAATAGAACAGAAAGCTTTTGGATATAAGAGATCAAAGCTACTCCTAAGCACCCCCTGTAGGGTAAAGACATCTCCTCTTTGCCAGCAGTTCACCAGGTAAAGGCTGGTGACAGTATAAAAACATGTTCATCTTCTATGACATATTCAATATGTTCAATGAAAGCTTTTCTGCTTTGAAAGGTGTATAAAAAGACAAAATCTGCCTTTCCCAAGTGCCTCAGTTCGCTCTGAATTTTTTACTAAAAAAGAAGTAGATTCAATTTTAAATTTTCTGGTTGTTATCACTATTTATTACCATCACAAGATTATGGGAAAATTTAAAGAATGGCAATACACAGCTTGGAAAAAAGAGATACAGATCTCAAAGGGCTGCTTGTGGGTTTTTTTTTTTCTTTTATTTTTTTCCCCGAACAATATATAATATACAAAATTATCTGGGTAGCTCTCTGCGTGCCTGTTGTGCATTCTTCAAAGAGGAAAACCAGCAAGCTGGGAAAGCAAATACCACCCAACAAAAAGGATTTGCCAAAAATAGTGTTCAGCATGTCACCTTTTAGCTAGTTAGAGATGCAGCTTGAAAAGATCTTTTTTTCAAGGTTAGCACAGCATGAAGCTGCCTTTAGTAGTTGGGACTGCTGTTAATAATTTTTTATTTTTCTCTTTGATAATCAAGATATTACAAGCAACAAGTTTTTTTTACTAAACTTTTTCATGCCCTATATCAGAAAAAAGCCTCAGTAATGGAAGGGAAGGGAGAGAAATAAGAGGTGAAGAGGTGCAGACAGTTCTTATGACATCATGTTAAACCCTGTTTTGGGTCTTAAATAATTTTTAGTGTAGACTTTTCTTTATCAGAGAAAGCAAATTAATGAACAGTTGTACAGATCCACTTGGAGAATTTGGAATGTTAGGGGTTTTTTTTCCCTTTTTTCTTTTTTGAAACTTAGTTTTATTGATGTAAAATGAACTTAAAGCATCCATACCCATCCCACCGGGAATGGGGTTCCAGGTTCCTGGGTCCTGGGCCTGTTCCATCTTCCACCACTGTTCCCAGTGGGTTCCTCTACCTTCCTGCAGGCAGTGCTTCCTAAAGCCTTGTCTTCCAACCACAGGGAACCGAAGGATGATCCTGCTCTGAACTTAGTGTTCTGTCCTCAGAGTGGAGTGATGTAGATCTGTCACCTTGGCCAGTTCCCTGTAGGAAATCCTAGAACAGGTGGGATGTTTGGGTCACTTTAGTCCCCTTAAGGAAGTTGCAGAGTGGGAGAAACCTGGATCAAAGATCTTACGTTAAATTTGTTGAATAATTTAGGTGGGGAGAGACCTTACGAGGTCACCTAGTCCTGCTCTTTATTTAGAGCAGGATTGACTTTGCAGTCAGGTCAGGTTTCCCAGGATGATGTCCGGTAAAATGCTGAGTTACCTCCAAGGCTGGAGGTGCCAAGGTTCCAATGGACACACTGTCCCTGTGCCTCACTGGAAAGAATATTTTTCCTTTTCTTCTCAACTCCAGTCAGAGCTTCCCTTGCTGCCACTTGTGCGTGTTGCTGCTTTTCCTTTCGCTGTGCACCTTCCCTTCTCCCTTGTGTTGGAGGACTGAGCCTGGACACGGGATCCCAGGAATCAGCCTCATGAGGGTCAAACAGGGAGAATAACCTCTCCCCTGCAGTGCTGCTGCACTCTTGTTCCTGTAGTCCAGATGTGCTGATGTCACTTGGTTGGGGGCCTGTTGCTTTGTCATAGTTTCTGATTCATTCATGTTTATTTCTCTTACAAGACTTGGATTGGGAATCGAAGACGGAAATATCGTTTAATGGGGATTGAGGTCCCACCCCCTAGAGGAGGTCCTGCTGATTTCTCTGATCAATCTGAATTTGTTTCTAAATCAGCACTTAATCCAGGAGAGGAAACTGCTACTGAAGTGGGGGATGATAATGATAGGAATGATGAAGTGTCAATCTGCTTATCTGAAGGAAGCTCACAAGGTATTTGAATTGCAGTTACTGCTGTGCCTGTATTTTTAATTTTGTGCAGTGTGCATGCTTTGGATTCTGTTGTTCACATTCACAAACGTCTGAAAGAGTCTCTCACAGTCTCAAGGGCTCCACCTCGGCTTGTTGAAGGTACTGTTTGGTCTCTTTCTTCTCCCTCTCTCTGAGTTCTGTTGGCTTTGTTATCACAGAAATTGCAGGAGCCTTTTCTTGTAAGAGCTCCGTTTCTGCCTCATTCATATAAGACAAGTTCACATTTTACTGGTGCAGCTGAGAGCTGGACTGACAGCACAGATGGAAAATCTCCCTTCCCCAGGAAGCCAGGTTTAAAAAATGCTCTCTGCAAACTGGCCAGGTGTACACGACCACCTGGAATATCCATCCTGTTTGACGCCCCATCCCTGCAAGTGTCCAAGGCCAGGTTGGACGGGGCTTGGAGCAGCCTGGGCTAGTGGAAGGTGTCCCTGCCATGGCAGGGGCAGGGACTGGATGAGCTTTCAGGTCCCTTCCAACCCAAACCGTGCTGTGATTCCATGATTCCTGTGAGCCCGAGTGACCCCAGGCACTGATGCACATGGACCTGCTCCCTGTGAGCTGAGCAGAGCTGGGCACTCACAGCTCTCCTGGCAGGGAACCATCAGCTCAGACCTGGGCTTGAACTAAAGCTGCCCAGAACTCCTGGTGTTCCAGGCTCTGACAGGCAAACACCACCCAGCAGATCAAAGCCAGGAGCAGGGAGGGCTCAGGAGCCTCAGAGCTGCACCCACAGGGTGTGTCCTTGGAAAACTGCAGGATCTGGAGTGAGAAGTGTCTTGGACTTAATTCCCTTTTCCTCCACCTCCCACGAGCACATGGAATCGATCCCTCCCTTCCCCTCTTGTCCATGAGCTCTGGGCCCCACGAGCTGCTCTGCACATCCACAGCTCACTAATTGCTCCCAGTGCTTCTGATTAGAGAGATCAATAAAGCCTTTGCTCTCTAAACTAAAAGAAAGCCTGACCTCGGGCCTGCTGGTGCAGCTCGATGTGCCAGGCTTGATCTTGTCATCTTGTCAGAACAATTTCAAGGGAAGAATCAGGAAAAGGGAGAGCTGCTGGGAAGGAATTTGTGATGGCTTTGTCATAACCTGCTGGAAAGAGAATAAGATGATAAAGAAATGGGTCAAGTGATTGAAAGGCAAGTGAGATGCAGAATCTCCGAGTCCTTGATTTGCCTGAGGTGTGGAAAGAGCTGATTTAAGTCAGATCTGCTTGAAGGAAAACAGTGACAGGGGAAGAGTCTGAACCCTCTGTAGTTAAAGTGAGAAATAACAGCACTTTTTTTGAGCAAGGCTTTCATAAAACAAGATAAGGCTGGAAGACTTTGAGTAGATTATTAGTGTCAAAGCTTAAGGAAGTGCAAGAAAAATGACAGGATTTCCACAGCATCCAGGAATCCCACTTTCATTCCTTTATTCTCCCACAACAATTATTGCTATTCATTTCTCCAGTTCAAAGGAGGAGGTTTCACTGCTGCAGCTCAGCTTGTTTTGAACTCCCTGGAAAATATTTCCCCTAATACTCATGTGTGCCATTCAGTCACAGATAGGGATTGTTTTAATGTTTGAGAACTGTAACTTTTGATCCTAATTTATTAAAAAACCCAAAACCACCACAACAAAAACCACTTCGAAAGACAGAAAAGAAGCTATTTTTGATCACCTGATTAGAGTGACATTGGTGATGGCTCTTGCTTTTAAAATGTATAAATATAAAAAAATAAAGTGAGCTGTACTGTGATGCCAAATGAAGCATTAAAGCTCTTCTATTGCCTCACCTTTTTTAATTGCACGTTAATTGGATCCATGCTTTGTGTGAGCACAGCCCTGTGGAGGGTCAGAGCTGTGCTGGGTTCTGTGAGCTGAGGATGAATATTTAAAGAGTTGGGAATGCTGTAGGGAGCTGCTGTGGGATCCAAGGGGTGACTCTCAGGGTTATGGAGTGGCTGGTGCTCTGGAATGTTCCCGAGTCCCTGAGGTGCCTCCTCAGTGCCCTTCACCTCCCTGGGTGTAACGAGGGCCCTTCCCTGCTCCTGCTCTCCAGTTCTCCCATTTGATCCCATTCCTGTTGCTCCTGGCACTAATTGTCCTTGGAAGCCACGACTGATGGCAGATTAAACTTATTCAAAACAATTTTAAATTAAATTTGCACAGTTTAGAGGTATTCAACTGGTAGAAGAGTTACTTAAAACAATTAACTGTCTCTGTATGATCTGGCCTAAACATTATCCTGTCCTTGCAGTGTTGGTAATCCCAGGGAAATCCTGTTATCCCTGTGTATGTGTGGAGCTGACAGACCCTGGCATTGCCACCCGCCCCCTTCAAGTGTCCTACCTGAACCTTGCTGCCCATTCCCTCTTTTCCTCTTTATATTAAATATATATATTTATATATTAATGCAGAAAATTCAAGTAAATATGAGAAACATACTTAATTTTAGGGGTGAACAGACTTACTTATCTTCCTTTGGGTTATGTTTTCTCATTGGCCATTAAGGCAAATAGAATCATCTATTCTGTATTTCATCTATATTTCATCCTTGTGGTTGAAATAGAAGGGTAAAATCTGCTCTCTTTTCAAGTGCTTGTACATAAAACAGCAGCTTAGGTTCAGTGGGGATACATTTGCCACATGAGAAGGAAATTATCTGCTTGCTCAGTTTTTGGTTCAAAACTAACCAATGTCTGCAAGGAGGAGGTGGGTTCAGACACATACCTATAATTTCAGGTGATATTCTAATATGTATCCTGTAATTTCAGGGAATGCAGAATTTTTCATGCAGTAATTTATTTGACATTAAAAAAAAAAAAGTTCTGTACACTCTTTTAATATTCCAATCTGAATCAAAAAACAGGAAGAAGATTGTAAGAGAATAACTGATAGTTTTCCTATTGTTTCAGGTAGCAATTGGCAAATTGGCTTGAAATCCTTGTGACAGGATGTCTTCTTTAATCAGACATATGTTATTTTTTATGAGTAGACATTGTTACTATGACTTTGCTTTTGAGTTTAGCAGCTGTGACATATTTATGGTAAAGACTATTAATGTTCCTGCAGCATAAAAGTGGAATGAAACCTGACAAATCTAATTTATTTCTGCAGAAGAGACAAATGAAGCTCTTCAAAATGAAGAAATTGGTCACAAAGATGATGACCAGAATCCAGTTTCCGCTGACAATGTGGTAGGTACCTTCCTTTGCCTCCTGAATTCCTCATGCTGGGGCTGTCCAATATCAATGTTTCTCATTAGGTGAAAACTTGAGGGTGCTAAGAGGCCTTCCTAGTTGGGAGCATGAAAACTGTACTAGAAATACTAAAACATAGTAGAAAAAAAGTACTAAAACATTCAGTGGAAATGGAATTACATGTTTTTTCTGTATTCTGCCAATCTGCTGTTCTTCCTCTGGAGAGCCAAGCCCAACTCTTGGGTGGAGCTTTGAAAGTACCAAGTGTAGCAAAACAGAAAGAAGGAGTTAAAAAAAAAACCAGAATTAAACCTGGTTTTCTGTAGCTTTCAGCAGGTATCTCTAGTGGTTCCTCTGCCTGGCTGACCTTGGATGGGTGAGTCAGGTAGGGTGGGAATGTGCTGGATGATCCTTGGGGATCCCTTCCCACTCAGAATGGTCTGGGATTCTGGGATCCTTCACTCCTATACCCTGGCCTGGGCATTATTCAGGTGTTTCTTGTTTTCCCCCTTGCTGGTTTAACTGAGAGCAGTGAGACAAGGCAGGACAGGCAGAGAGAGGAGTCCTGGCAAATAATGCCATAAATCCCTGGTTCAGCCAGCCCTCTCTCAGGTTAGAAGAAAGGAGAGAAGACCCCAGGTGAGTGACTTTTACCTGGAGTTACCTGCAGAATGATCAGGGCATGGCCCAGCTCCCACTGCACTCCTGGGCAGGGCTGAACCCACAGCTCAGAACAGGGAACAACATTTGTGTTCCACTGACCACCCAGAACCCAAGGGGGGAAGCAATAGGAGAGTCCCTTCCCCCTGGGAGGAGGAGACTTTTCCTTTCCCTTGTTAATTATGATCATCCTTTGGATACACTGAAACCCCGCAGGCTGCCTGAACAGATCCAGCTGCCTTTTCCCTCCTTTATCCCAGGTGTCCTGCTGTGACCTCAGCTAATCCCTCGGAGGTCTGGCTGATGTGTCTCCCATGGAGATACAGGATCTGAAGTGACAGGCAAAGGGTTTGCAGAGATGATGTCTCAGAGACTCAGCTCTCCAGTTCCCTGAGCCCCAGCACTGTGCAATTTGATGTAATAACGGGAACAAATCCAAGGAATAGTTTCTTCACACTTTGTTCTGAAAACACTGTCACAAAACTTTTTAAAAATGCAGTTAAAATTGGACTAAAATACATTGGATTTGCATAAGAGATGCAATTTTCCTATTTGAAATTCTAATCTGTTCTTTCCCCTACTATCTTAAAGTGTATGTCTAAGAAAGATAGTGTGAATGTTTGGCACTTATTTAGAGACTCTTTCCTCAAGCTGAGCCTAAAAAACAAAAATATTTGAATCACAGTGTTGCCGAGGGTAGGATGGAGCAGCAGATCTCAGGGACATGGAGCCTTTGAAGTGTTGTCACTTCAGCTGGGCTGTCAGACACAGGAAATGTGGTTTATCCTCCCTGCTTTCAACACACACTTGGGACCTTGGTGGGTCCTGCCAGGGAGAGCCTGGTAACCCCCCCTGGAAGGGTTTCTCCTTGGGATCAGAAGGACATTCCTGCTGCCTGGAGTGCAGGCAGCGAGAAGGGACAATGATGTGCTGCAGGGAAGGAGCCTCCTCTGGAACAACACCTCAGGAACCAACCATGAGCCTGGACTGGGCTTAAACACTATCCTGAAACCACAGTAAAATTGCTTTATTATAGACAGTCTCATAAATGTTCACAACTATCAAACCAATTAAAAATAGTTAAAAAACAATCCCCTCCTCATATACTACCCCTGCTTCCCTCTCAAATGTAGTGAAATCTGGGCAGTCATGCTTCACAGCTCTGTTGAAAAATGCCATTC